GTACTATGCCATTATTACCCTGAACCAGACAATCATATCATCGCGAGATCTAGAAGTTGCCAACAAGCTACTTGACTTGTACTTCGCGGTATTTACAGGGTTATTGTTGAAAACTCGTCAATCAGACAAGCCCATAAAAACACCGGCGCCGAAAGAGATCCCACCAACTAATAATGGGAATGCAAAAGGCAAACTCTCGAAAAAGGCAAAGAGGAGGTTGGAAGAGGCCGAAAGGCAAACTCAAAACAGCGAAGAACTCAACGCGAAACTTATTTCAGCTGTCCTCGTTGGAGTAAACAGAGCATACCCATTCTCGAAAATCGATGATGAGTTATTCGAAAAACATGTTGACACTCTTTTTCGAATCACACACTCTGGAAACTTTAATACGAGTATTCAGGCCCTTATGCTAATTCACCAAGTTTCTACATCAAAGCAGGTGGTGTCTGACCGGTTCTACCGGACACTCTATGAATCGTTATTTGACCAACGGCTCATAACGTCATCTAAGCAGGCCATGTATCTCAATCTCCTCTTCAAGGCACTCAAGGTTGACACTAACCTTAAACGAGTGAAAGCCTTTGTGAAGAGATTGGTGCAAGTATCTACTATGCACCAACCAGCGTTCATATGTGGTGTCTTCTACTTACTTAGCGAGTTGGTATCTACCTTTCCCAGCTTACGAACTATGCTTGATACTCCTGAAGCTAGAGAGGACGATGAAGAGGAAGCATTTAGAGATGTGCCGGATGAAGATGATGATGTAGATAAGGCCAAGCGTGTAGCTCTCGAGAAGGCAATGAAAGAGGCTGAAGACCGCGCCAAAAAGTTGCGCGATCTATATGATGGCAGGAAGAGAGACCCTGAATTTGCAAACGCTGATAAGTCTTGCTTATGGGAGATTGTGAGTACCTTTCTATCATCCGATTCTTGACTCTCCAACTAACTGCATTGTAGATTCCTTTCACCTACCACTTTCATCCCTCTGTCTCTCTCTATGCGTCACGATTCCTCTATAAGCAGGCCATGCCCAATAAGCCTGATCTATCTCTATATACACTTACACATTTTCTTGACCGTTTTGTGTTCAGAAACCCCACAACTCGGAACACCAGCCGAGGGCATTCAATCATGCAGCCTCTTCTTAGTGCAGGAACTGAGGCGAAAGGGATGGTCTTGTCGATTAGGGGTACAGGAAAGACTCAGCAATCCATTAACTCGGAGCAGTTTTGGACGAAGAATCTTGAAGATGTTGCTCCAGATGAGGTATTTTTCCATAAGTATTTCAACCAACGCGCCACTGCAACGAAAAATCAGAAGAAGAAGGACAAGAAGAAGGAGAGCGAGGATGAGGAAGAAGAGATCTGGAGTGCGATGGTGGGAAGTCGCCCGGAGATCGAAGCTGATGGTGAAGATGTGGATATGGACGATCTGAGCGAAGGCGAGGAGGGAAGCGATATTGGGGGTTCAGGTGATGAAGGTGGAGAAGGCGAGGGTTCAGGTGAGGAGGGAGAGGCTATATCCCTTGATGCTGCTATTGCTGCATCTAAACGCAAACCTAAGAGCGCCGCTGCGTCTGAGGATGACGATGACGATGGTGATGCTTCTTTTGGTCTTGGTGAGGAAGGTAGTGATGTATGGGCATCAGATGATGATGTCGAGGTACCATCTGATATTGATATGGACCTCGATTCTGTGTTTGCTGCGGAGCTGGAAACGAACAACTTGGCTGCTGAGATGCCTGCTCCAAAGAAGCCCAACAAGAAGCAAGGAAAGAAGACATCCGGGCCTGAGGAGAAGGACGTGGGCGAGCAGGACGAAGCTGATGATGGCGTGAAGAAAAAGAAGCAGAAGCTCAAGCATCTGCCTACCTTTGTGTCGGCTGATGACTACGCACATCTCTTGTCCGATTAGTTTGGGTGCTTTGATATCCTTCACCCCATATGTATTTGTATAAACCGTCGTGTCGGAATGTGTCCCTGGAGACTCAACCTCCGTAATTCACGTGTAATTGACGTATATTAGAGCTTTCCTGTGAAAACTATCATGGCTCTCCGCAAAAATATTTTTACATTTTCCAAGATATATTTGAACGAGCAGATATGGTTTCGGTTTCGAAAGGTTTCAAGTATAACTCAACCATTTAGAGCCAAATAGGCGGGTGCAAATTACATGTAAGGTATTTCCACACCAAGTAGGCCGGGGCGTATGTTGATTGCTAAAGATAGGAAAATATATTGGTAGTACATCCACACAAGGATATTGCCTACCTACCTAGGCTTCCAATACCAAAGAATCCGAGCCACTCACAGCCAGTCACTCACAGTCTTCCCATCATTGCTCACTGAAGATATTTCCTAAAAGACCCCCTCTGAATCCAACTATATATTTCCAAACATATCTTCGATATCTATTAACAGCCTACATGGCCTGAGGAAATGCCTGCGTTCAAGTTGTAGAACCCCCAGATTTTGAGCCTATTCGAATAAGAGTGGCACAATGTTGAAGCACACTTAGGATATCAAGAGATGATTCAAGCGGCAATAGAAGCTATGAAGAAGAACAATATTCATATTGCGTTGTAAGAGAAAATGTAGTCTCCGTCGACTACGTGTTTGCTAGCCTGGTAGAGATCGTGCAGCGGTTGGGTAACTTCCTCCAGAATATGTTAGCTGTGTCATCCACGTCTCTTTCCGTGCACTCCGTACTCAAGACCAATTGCAGAATCATCTCTGTTTACAGACTGTTTACAGAGCAGTAATATGCAGCAAGGTAACGAATGCTTATTCAGGATCATGGATTACTGTAGGTAGCCCTTGCAACGTCCCATGAGTTTGGCACAATTAGCAGTCTTGGCACCATTCGCCGCGATATTCACTTCTCTGACAGAAAAGCAGCCGAGGCCACTCTTTGCTTCCAGACGACTCCTAAGCTTTAGCCTTCGTATGAATCATGTCAGGCAACTACTCCGACTCCGAAGATGAAGACTACGGCGACTTCCAAACCACCAATGTTACACTCGGCTTTGCGGTGACAGAAGCAACCAGCGACAAGATCAGCCATCTCGGTGGTGAACCCGTACTTCCCTCCCCTTCCTTCCTCCTCTCACCTACCCCTCTTCTCTAACTTCGCCCGGTGGTTATATTAGACCTGGATAAAGCTCACTTCCCCCCTTGATACCCGCCTAGCAAAATGCCTTTCCTGCAACTCCCTCATGAACCTCCTCCTCCAACTCGATGGCGAAGTCCCTGAGTCCCCCCACCAGCGAATCTTCTATGTCTTCGCCTGCGCGCAGAAAAAATGCCGACGGAAGCAGGGCGGGGTTAGAGCTATTCGCGGTGTTGGGATACGTAAAGCGGCTTTAGCGAAGGAGGAGGAATTGAAGAAGAAACGGTTGGAGGAGGAAGAGGCAGCGAAAAAGAAGAAGGAAGAGGAGGCGAGTAGGCCTTTACCTGGGGATATGTTGTTTGGATCTGGGCTAGGGAACGCGGGGGCAAAGAGTACGAATCCATTTTCGATGGGTGGAGGTGCAGCGGCGGTGGGAGGGGTGAATCCATTTGGGAATCCATTTTCTACAAACCCGGCGGCGACAACGATACAAGCGCCTCCATCATCGAAACCCACTACCTCATCAACACCAATAACCACAACCTCATCTACCCTCCACACAACCTTCGCCGCGGCCCTAAACCTCAGTCCCTCCCCTCCCCTCCCTAAAGACCCCGAACCGCTCTTCTACGGCCCCCCTGAACCCTGGCCTAATCCCCACCCTACCCCACCCTTCCCCCACTACTTCCTTGATGCTGGCTACGAAGAACTCTCTGCCACGCCCGAATCCCTCCTCCAGCGCACTTCCCAAAATGTACATACCGACCCCACCACCCTCCTTGACTCCTCATCGTCTGGTGGTGGCTCAAGCGATGACTGGGGCGGCTATGAAAAATCCAGCCTCGACACGACGTTTCAGAAATTTGCCGATCGCACGTCAGAAAATCCCGACCAAGTCCTCCGCTACGAGCATAAAGGCGTGCCACTCCTGTACTCAAAAACGGATGCGGTTGGGAAGTTACTGTCCCCGTTGAATTCCACGGGAGAAGCGCTGAAGAATGTCCCCCGCTGTTCAGGCTGCGGGAAACAGAGGTTCTTTGAGTTTCAGTTGATGCCGCATGCGATTGCCATGTTGGAGGCGGAGGATGTAGGGCTCGATGGAATGGAGTGGGGGACAATCATTGTGGCGAGTTGTACGTGCGTGCCGAGGCAGGTGGATGGGAATGGGAGTGGCGTGGGATATGTCGAGGAGTGGGTTGGAGTGCAGTGGGAGCAGCAGAAAAAGTAAAGTGGTGATTTTATTAATGACAGGAAAAAGGTATCGGGAGTTAGAGGTTTGAGGGTAATGCAGGGGATTGGCGGAAGTTGATAAAACAAAAAAGGAGTTATCTGGCGTGCGCTATCTAGGCCTTATGCTTACAAGTTTTAGGATAGCTGTTCTCCCTGCTTTCTTATTCCGGGATGGGTTTCGGGAGAGGATCTTCCGTTCAGCGTATTTCCTTGCAAAGTGAAGACCTCTAGCCTGGCCAACAACCCCTAGAATGGTCACGTGATTCTACTAAGTAGCCTAGTCTGGTTGGTGCTCACATAGAATTGGTTGTTATCTGTCTTTAGTCTGAGAATATGTTCTGGGCCGTTAGGCGTATAAGCTTATGTCATACATTGCTACTATCTGGGTCGAAGCACTCGCCTTCAAAGGCTTGCCTTGCCAAACTAGCAGGACTAGTGCAAGCCAGACTACCGAACTAGGCCAGTGTACATATATCTTAGGCCGGGCTGTTGTGCCCAGTACTACATATCATCTGCACACATTCGCAAACCCCCATTACAGGTCTTGCGGTGGAGAGGAGTTGCAGTTCGTTTGGGTCATCACCAAACGATCCTTCGCATGCGGGGTCTATATATACATACTATAGATAGTCAAAAGCAGAGTAATTAACCTTCAACAAATGGCTCCGTTGGTCTAGTGGTATGATTCTCGCTTAGGGTTACCCTGAGTATGTGTGCGAGAGGTCCCGTGTTCGAACCACGGATGGAGCCTTTAGGTACTTCCTTTCCCTTTTAATTAAGACAGTTATCTGAGGTTTAATTTTTTTTTATGTCCTACGGGTTTTGATTACTGACATTGATAAACTGCCACATTTTCATGTCAAAAGAATAATATTTATTCATAAATTCCTAACACAAAGAGTGGTTGCACAACCCCCCCGGTAAATGGAATATAAACGACAAAAAAAAAAACCATAGTCGAAAAAAACACAATGTCCATAATATACATATGAAGTTAGCAATGTCTATTTAGCTAAAACCCCAAAGATATTGTGCACACTCCAAAAACAAATTAGTGCGACCTCCCTAATCCTGTGGGACACTCTTATTTCCCGTATTCGTCCTTGCCTGCACTACTAGTACACTCGCTCTGATATTCGCAACGATGGCCGCCTCAGCCACATCCCCAAGACAATTCCTCATCTCCGACCCTGCCCCAGACGGGTGATTCAGTGCATTCAGAATGCTCACCAGCTCCTGTCTGATATATGGTCTATGCTCCTTTCTACCGCGACCTAGCACAATCAAGTCACCAGCGTTCTTCTTTGATCCATCCAATTCCTCGCGGGCTTTGACAAGGGTGTATTGTAGGACTTGGTTTGTTTCGATTCGCTCATGGTAGACCCGGTTGGCAATGGAGGGTGGGATAGAGTCTACGATTGACTTGAAGAATATTTCTTCCGTGGAGGCAACCTCAGAGGGGGCGTTTTGGTCATCGTCTTTGGCGACGGTGGGGACGTGGGAGAGGGAGAGGCCTCGGGGAAGGTCTCTTCGAGTGGCAATGCCAGCGGTAGAACTTAAAGCTGCAGGAGCTGGCAAGGTAAGTTCTGGAACTTTAGCGTTCGCGTCTTTCCTGAATACAATATGGACAATCGTCGCTGTGACGTTGGTATTTCCGCATAATTGTAGCACAAACCGAAGAGCAAGCCGATCATCGTCCCCACCAAAGTAGGGGAAGAAAATATGATGCGACGGATCAGTAACCGGGGAAACAGTTGAGTCCATGTTCTTTCTGGAACGAATACTGCGCATACTGGTACTCCTAGCAAGCGTCCTCTCCAGACCACCAAAACCCCTATCCACTAGAATGGCAGTACTGCATGAAGTCAACGCAAGGACTTTTGCAATGAATTGATTGTGAACGGAGGAAGTAAATCGATTCTCGGGGCTCACGGTTTGATGATCCTGTGGATCACTGACCGCACCAGTCTCACTCCAAGGGACCAAGAGCAGTTCCGAAGAGCGATCAGCAGCCCTGTTGGTTAAGACTTCTGCAAACGAATCCTCAGGTGCAACGGAAATACCTGTAGAGACAGCCAAATGATTCAAGCGCCCAAATGTTCGGAACACATTCAGAACAGGATCCCTGTCTGTGAATTCATCAACCTCGGACACTTTCATGACAGTAGACGTACGCTGTGTCAATTCGATGATTCTGAGACCGTCCACCTCCAACGGTCGTTTCTTTGGTGTGTTGGAGGATTCTGAAGCTTGTAGCGTTTCGGATTTCTCCTCTAATACAATGTTTTCTACTTGCCGGTATTTCGCCTTATGGACCTTTGGTGTGGTAATTTCATTCTCTCCACCAAGAAGGTTGATGAAGGTGAAAAGACTGGGTAGGCTGTCAAGTCGCAGGAGCATCGCGATTTTATTAATCCGGAAGGCCTGGGTAATACCCTTCTTTCCATCGGTTTCGTCATGAGGCTCTTCTGTCACGAGCATATTTCCGTCCCAGTCGATTTCACCGCGCTTCCAGCTAGCAAGCTTCTTCTGATACCACAAGGGATACAGCCACTCAGTCAATGGAGTTGTGGCAAATGTAGTGATAAGGGCCATGACAACGAAAATGGTGAAAACACGTTGACTGATAATGCCTGCCTGTAGGCCAATATTCTGAATATCGGATGTTAGTGACCAAAGACCAAATTCCAATCATGAAGCCACAATACTTACCAAGACGATAAGTTCTACCAGACCCTTACACGACATCAATACCCCGATGGTGAGGCTTTCTCTCCACACTAGGCCGTTGACTCTGGCTGCAATTGTCCCTCCGGCAATCTTGCCGAAGAAAGCAATTGCAACAACACCAACAACATACGCCCACACGATCCCATCATCCAACAATCCAATATTCGTGTTCAGTCCAGAGAGTGCAAAGTATAAGGGGAGGAAAAGCACAGAGACAAAGTCTTCGATCTTTTCCGTGAGTCGAATCGCAAAACCTCTCTCATGGGGACATATCAACCCAATCATGAAACCACCAAAAATGGCATGCACACCAATGATGTCAGTGAAAAATGCCGATGCAAGCACCAAAAACAGGGTTAACGCAACCATGGATTGTGAGGGCCCATTTTCCAGGGAGCCATCACGCCGCAGGATCCATATGAACGCTGGTCGCACAAGGTATATAAGGGCAAGCACCCACCCAATGGAACATAGCAGCACATATAAGGCTGTGAGACCAGTTCCTGCATTCACGAGCGCAACGGTCAAGGCCAAGAGAATCCAACCGACGACATCATTACCGACACCTGCAGATAGGACAATGGTTCCAACACTGGATTGGAGGAGCTTGAGTTCGGTAAGGATACGGGCAAGCACGGGGAATGCCTAATCCCAATGCGTGAGTACATTTGCGTTGATATTATAACGAAATGGGAAATTACAGTAATAGCCATCGCAACGCCAATAAAGAGAACAAATACTCCAAAGCGAACGTTGTTCGTGCCTGGATCGTCCTTAAACTCGCTGTGAAGACCATAAGCGATGGCAGCACCTGCAGGAATATAAAATCAGCATGCAGTCCTGTTTGTCCGTCAGTACGATTGCCATGGTGTCCAATATACCTAGGCCAAAGGGTAGTATCATGCCAGCCGCTGACACACTCGCTGCGATCTTTAGATTGGACAGTAGCATTCTGACGTCTACTTCAAGCCCAACCAAGAATAAGAACAAAACAAGTCCCAAGTTCGCTACAAGAGTCAAAAGAGGCTTCGACTCGTCTGGGAATATAGAAAGGTTGAAACCAGGAATTCGCCCCATGATAGTCGGCCCTATACACTAATATCAATAACCAATGCCACGATTTGTAGACTTGACCAACACCTACCGAGGATAATCCCTCCAATAACCTCTGCAATAACTTGGGGTTGACGGAGCTTTGACAAGGGCCAGTGCAATAAACGGCATGTTATAATGATAATGGCCATCTATCCCCATACGAATTAGCTCTCTGGATGCAAACAATGAAGGAACTCGTCTCATGAAGACTAACCTGGATGATAAGTAATGTCAAGGGATTCTTCGGATTGTAATGCGCTGGATTTAGACCATCCAGAACACCTCCTTGGCTGGGGGCAGTTGTGGCCGGCCCAGAAGATGTCGTCGTCGTCGACATAATGAATCCGGAGACCTCGCAATAGACCTTTCTGACGAAGAATAGGAACACAACTGAAGCGCACTTATACTCTTATCAGCCTAACCTCTTGCCTGCTGACATCGCACAAAAAGTATAAAGGAGACGGAATCCGTAGTCCGGTTATATAATTAAGCTTACCTCTTGCCACAAGCAGCTAGCCGTAACTCCTATTGCCGCCGGTGATTAAGCTTCTTCCAACGACAAAGGACTCCAGCTAAATATCTGAAGACCGAACCGTGAATTCAACCTGCTTACCGTCAAGAACTACAGCTAGCAGGAGGGGGGACATCAGGTATTTTTCTATACTATCCCCAACCGCGTTCTCGATTGGCTGGCTACGTTCACCCCCCTCCACCTGACGCCACGCGCTTGACATCGGCACACCCATGTGCAGCCATGGCGGGGCCATCATTTACCTACCGGTCCTCCTTTTTTTTTTTTTTTTTTTTTTTTTGGAGTCTATGCATCTATGGAGCCTAAGACTATGAGACGGCTTAGCATGCATGTCGGTCAATTCGAAAGAGAAACCCCATGACCACCTAATTTTTAGTTGAATCCACCTCGAGCAAACTTGACCGGTTTAACAAAGATCCGTGAAGAAACACTCCTCAACTGTCGAAAGGACGTGGGGTACCGGTCGAGGCAAGCCGACTGCTAGGAAATACAAGGACAGGTTAAGATGTAAAGTACACTGCAACCAGACTAAGTACACTGTAGGTAAAGTACTAAGGAAGCTGGTAGTTGCACTTGGCTCAATGAAACAGGGTGATAAAGTAGGCTAAATAAACTACAATCATCCTATCAATCATTGCAGGTGAATTGAGATGCCAGAGAAAAGCAAAAAGAATAAGTTGAGATGGTTGTCACGAATCATCCCAAAAATCCATCTGCCCCCCCTATCCCTGCCTCCAATCTCACCTTCCTACCGTATTATCTCGAGACGAGAAATTCACTAGAAATTCACTAGCGTCGGTGACGCCTGCAATGTATCATCACCGCTAATAGGTATAGATCTATAAAACCTATCAAGTCGGGTATTTTCCACCATCACCTATAGTAATACTTGCAGGTCAATATCTTTGATCGCAAGCTTACTAGGTATCATGACTTCCATCAACTGAAACGATGTCACTCTACGGTACTGCATGTTCTATACCTATCAGGAATACCGGTAGAACCGTTACCATAGCACAAATCTCCAAACTTTTCTAGGTATCGCTTTCCGATCGCTGCATTGCAGACGCCACCGACGCTAGTGAATTTCTCGATATTACGGTAGTATCCGGTAGTATCGGTAAGCTTACGTTCTGGCGAGGGGTAGTGCAACCGGACAAGTATCTACCGTGCCAACCAGACTACTAGGACTGGCAACCAGACTAGTTCTGGCACATGCACATTGTTTCAAGACAAGCGAGCGAGTTTCTCCAGTCACCAGACTCCCTTCCTTGTAGTTGCAACAGGGGTTCCATCAGCCAGCCAATCTCTCAAAGTGCTTGCGCCACGAGAACTAGTCAGATCGGGACTAACTGAGAACTCGGCTTGTCTCCACATCGTAAAGAGCGCCCCA